GCATCCACCCTTGCCAGTATTTATTGATAATCCTGGAAGCATTTTTGATACCAATCTAATGATTCATATAAATTACGTATTCTGCTACGGATGATGTTCATAGTCCGCCAATTGCGTTTATCAAGGTTAATAAGTTTAAGTTATTCAAGCCATTTGGGTTTTTATGTGCCTTAGTAATTTAATTTTAACTAACCTTTCATTTTTCTTCATTTTTTACATAGCTTAATTTGATAAATAAATGTGTGAACAGATTGTTCGAAATCTATAACGGAAATGCATTACATTTTTCCGGGATAAACTCTATATTATCCATAACTGTATCCAAAATTTATTAAAAGCACTGATTATTTCAAATAAATAATAATATTAAACCAAATGATTAGACGAGTTTACTATAATCTGACAAATAATTACTGCAATTAAAAGTTATTTATATCTTCTAAATGGGTCAGAAACTTGCACTATGTATCACGAAAAGGATTTCCAACGAGTTACAGACTCTTATCGAAAGCAGCCTTCTCTGGCTCCATACTTAAGATCGAATGGCCAGTCGGCTAGAAAGAATTGGCAACAAACCAACCAAGAGCCGATGGTTCAACAAATATGTGGGAGAAAGTGGAGATGGATTGAGCATACGTTGAGGAGGCCGTCGAATGACATAGCGCGCAATTTAGGCCATCGCTCCAGTTGAATCCCAATGAGGCGCGACGAGTGGGTCGTCGGTGCGAGGGTGACATGGAGATGATAATGCGAGGAGGAAATGAGATAGATTATGGGCGATCGTGGACCTAGTTAAAGAGGACAGCGGAAAATAGAAGAAGGTGGAGATGTATTGTTGAAACCCTATGTTCCACTTGGAACCCAAGGGAAGATAATAATAATAATATCGTGTAGTATTCATAATGTGGTGAGGCAGCTGACAATATCTGTTCTGAGTATTTTTGGATCTCTGAAGAAGAAACTTTAGTGGAATTTCACTTTGGAATGTCCATTTTTCAAGCAACTTATTACAACTTATGAATCTGAAAGATAAGCAATAGTGGATGTATGGGCAGGATAAAAGCGGTTCAGTTTTTATTTCTCGACTTTTCTCCAGCTCCTTACGTCAAAGAAATGACAGAAGTTATCATAAAAGTGAATATACAACATCAAAAGTGTTTTAATTTGAAGAGCGTTTATTAATTTTTAGTATAGTAAGGGAACAAAAGGGGTATGGAAACATGGTGATTAATAACTGAGGAAGCAGTGTTTAATTATACATATTATGATGGAAAGTTAAAGAGGTGAATGCGACAGTGTAAAGATATGGTGAGTAAGGGCAAAATTATTACACAAACAAGCAGTTAAGTAAGTTGGGAGAAAAACATTTAGTTAGTCTCCGCGAGTGAAAGTTGAAGTCTCGTGAGGACTGTTACATGACAAACCGCTCGAAATTTCTATCATATAATGTATGAATTAACTGTGGCTCCTCAATTACCAAATGATATCGTCTATTCATACTACCTGTTCTATTATTATGATAAGAATTATTAAACGTCCTTTAATTTCAAATAATATTTGAAGTATGTTATGTATTTACACTTATCTATAGTAACTTATTCATAGGCTGTTGGAAGCGGAGGAAGAAAAGTTGTGAAATAGGGAGAAATAACTTTTAATTGGTGGATGGTGACTAGCTGTGGGATCCAGGATGAGCATTTCGTCCTATTTTTGATTCGTCGGCTGGATGTGTCTGCATTCCGCAGTGAGGGATGATGTTCCCCCCGAGGCTTGAATCCAGTGCCCATAGTTTCAAACACCAAAGCGTTATCCACTAGATCACTAGGGCCATGAGAGCCACCTCGGTGGGAACATCATCATTCACTGCGGAATGCAGGTACATTCAGATGATGAGTCCCAAATAGGATGAAATGTGCATCCTGAATTCCACTGCTAGTCACCATCTACCAATTAACCTCTAAATACATGCCAAGACATCGTCGAAGCATCTGCACAAGAATCCGACATGTCAACCTGAGACCGAGCACTTCTATCCAATCAATCGAATGGAAAATCAAAAATTGAATTAAATAAGAAATAACTTTTGTTCTTATCCTGTATATATATATATATATATACATCCATTCTTGCTCAACGGCATTCTGTTTTCGCTATAAATCGTCACTTTGTTATACGTAACATTCGCTAAGATCGTATGGATCAGTAATACAATCTTGTCGAGAATAATTTCATCTACTAACTAACGTCTACACACGAAGATGAGCAGAAATAAGGTCACGTGACGAATCGATTTTCGGCCTTAAAATTTCTGTTCTTTTGCAAGGTAACTTTTTCTATGAAAGATATTTACTTTAATTAAACTGTGCACGTGGTACAGCTGTGAGTCTAAATATCCAGTCAACGTTATAGAATTGTATAAATAACAAGAATATAGTTGCATAATCCGATTCACAGATTAATAATAATTACTTCCCTTATCATTTGCCATTGTGGAAATAACAGAAAGAAACTAATTCAGTGAAAATTTACATAATTCATCATAAGAGTTAAACTGTTTGATACAGTAAATGTTTTTAGATATCTGACAAAGCGATAACAAGACGTTGAGAAGGATCAAAATGGTTACATTTTTGGTCGGTCAGTATCCATCAACTGCTTACAGCCTGAGTCATGAAACCTTAGAAGGTCTTCTGCTCTTTCTACCATGATAACCTGGTCCTTAAACTTTAACTGATTATATCATCTTTTATTAAATACACAGTCTTGCTTTTATTTCTCACTGACTTAGTTACGTTATCCTTAATTGAACGTCATGCCTTCTAACTAAATGAGTTTAACTCTTTTAAGATTGACCACGAACTGAAATCAGCTAAAATTTCATTGGAAAACCAGAGAGTACTGAACAGATATTCCCTCCTCCTTCTTTGGGACTCTTCAGTAGTACGCACCCACCAGTGCTGAAACTCAGAACCTTCCGGTTACAAGGCGGACTCGTTTACCATTCAACCACTGGGGCTCGATCCAGTGGCCCACGGATTCCAATTTTTACTAATTCATAATTTTAGCGCAACCACCTGCCAGTATCACCGGTGAGTATTTGTCATCTCGCCTGACAGTTCGGCTCGTGATCAAAGTTTGAGCGAATTCGATTGATGCAGACTAACTCGTGAATATTATTCTGCTGCTCACTAGTGGCTGGCCACAAAACGAATTTGCCTGGAGTCCTAGTCAGAAATCATGACCAGTAGGATTCATCATGTCGGACGTGTGAACAAGTATTCGCTGATGACAATGGTAGGTGATCGCGTCAATATCATGAATTGGTAGAAGCTGAAATTGATGAACCACTGGATCGGAACTAAATAGATGAATAGTCTACAAGTATGACTTGTAACCGGTAGGTCCTGGGGCCGGACTCCGGTGGGTGCAAATCAGGAAGAAACAGACGTCCATTGGTTCTATAACTGATGTCAGTTCATGCTCAAGCTTGAAATAAACCAAATTCCTGCAAACCAACCTTTGAATAACATTTTTTTGGTAATCATCTTTTCTGTAATAAATTATGTTATCTCAATTTCTCTTTGCTGCCCTTTCACCTTACCTTTGTTGGGAAACTTCAGTCGCATAACACATATAAAAGCACAGCAGTATTTTTTGTATTTTTTCTTAAATCAACATTTCAATTCATTTCTACGCCATGGTCATTTCTCAGTGTCGCTAGACAGTCATGTTGAAATTATAATAAAACTACTAGTTTTCACTCTTCAAGTTGTATGTAGTTTACAGGATGCCAACGAAATAAAATGGATCTTTTTTATCCTGTTTTGTGAGGTGTTACCACGGCTTAGTTGCAATACACAGCTGCAGTGGCTTTTAGCACTTAGCAGTGAATATTATCTCTAGAACCCTTTAAATAAATTTCTATAAGAAATGCACCTAAATGACCATTACCGATAAATTCGGAGGACATGTGTATTTAACTGACAAATTACTGAAATCAAGTCGTACTATTGCATTTATGAAGATCAGATTGACCTGGGTGAGAGATATTGTCTTGAGGGAAAATATGAGCTAGAATGTTGAATAACGATCATAATTGGGATTGGGATTAGGGCCACCAGATCTACAAGGAAATTCTTTACAATTGTTATTATTCATTCATGCTTTCATTCATACATTCCCTGAATACTGAGTGGAACACAGGGCTTCATTGGCACATCTCTGATCCCCTTAGTTCTCAGCCATCATTATCAAGGGGCTCAAAGACTGCCTAAAAGCTTTCATTTCACGTGATATTCTACATTTCACTCTTGGGCGCCTAAACCCGTCGCTTCCCAACTGGGGTCCACTAGATGATCCCGCCTAGTTTGCTACCCACTTCATGGCTTTGCATAAAGGAATGTGAAGCATGAGGCTAGTGACCACATCTCGTGGAAAGAAGGGCGTCAATCACTGTAGAAACCTTAAAGTACACAAAAAGTAAGCTTTATCATTAGCCTTTAAGCTAAACTAAATTACCGGTTTTCAATTCAACTTTCAGGAAAGGAACAAATTCTAACAGTTTAGTGAATATTGATGTTACATGATAATGTGATGATGCTTAACTAATAGTGATTTGTCAGACTACTACTATTAAAGGAAGATCAGAGAACTTCACTCCAGGAATCAAACAAAGTTCAGCGGAAACACCTCCAAACTATGAACCATGAAAATACAGCCTCACTATGAAAAGAATGCAAAACTGTATCTAAAGGTAGCTCAGAAAATACTGATAGGTATATATAAGTATACGTTTCCTATTAAGTAGTGTATTTCCAGACAAAGACTAAACGATGGAAAGCACCACTGAAGAGTTGAGACCAGTGGAGGTAAGAAACAGTCCTGCAAAAAGAAATTTCACTAAACTCGGAAACAAATTTCATTTCCGCAGATTTTAAAATTTTTGCGAACTTTATTTTTTATAAGCAAACAGTAAAGCTATTGAAAATTTTCATTCTTACCTTCATGAATTAAAAAAAAGAATATGAAATAGTGAATTCCAAGTGCATCTACTACAATTCATGTAAAGATGTTTTAAAATTTTCCGGCCAATTATTTGCATCATTCCCATTCTCATTTTCAAAAACCAATGTATGCGGTTTCTTATTCACTGCACCGATTGGAGGTCTAGTGGAAATTGATCTTTTCTTATGCCTTCGATAACTAGATGAAGGGGATCGTCTAATTTCATGAAGCAATGATGGTGATGGATGTCCACTTGATAGACGACTTCTTGAACCGTAAAGCTGTCTCCGTTCTCTATCCCTTTGAGGAATACCAGCTGATACATTAGCAGAGGTGGAGCAAGATGTTGATGGTACAGATGGATATAAAGTTTGTGAGGAATATTTTATCCCTTTATGATAATATGGATGAGAATTCATCGGCTGATATTCCTTTCTGCTAGAATACGGTGTCGACTGGATTTGCTGACCAGTGTCAACAGCAAATCCGTTCGATGAATAATCCCATTTATCTTTACTATTATTCCGATAAATCCTGTTAGACGCTGATGCTTTCTCATTGTTTCTATTCAAACCATTTCTCAACGATCCATTCCACATGCTACTTGAATATGATGTTGATCGACCTAACAAGTGTTGTTGACTTTGATTACTGTTGTCATAGTTATAATTTTTATTTTTAGGATTTATATTACTGATCAACAGAAATTGATCAGCATTTTGCAAATTCACTGTAGAATTATCCGGAAAAGAATTATGCCGAACATTTAATTTTGGATGAGATCCAGATAGATAGGTACCTGAGATAGTTGATATCAATAAGGGATGGGTACTGGTTTCATAAAAACCATTATTCCCGCTAACATCAGTACCTAGGAAATCCGGATGAAAGGGACCATAACTGGCTAATTTATTTGGATGAGATTTTGAGGATTTTTGAATCCTTCTGCGGATCCATATAACTAAGATTATAAAGCCTATAAGTAGTATGATATTTACAATACCAAGTAAAATTAATCCACTTGTTAAGTATCCAAGTGACGTCGTTTCTTTAACCGTGCTTTCTTGATTTTTAGCAATAAAAACTGTTGTAGTGTGATTTATTTGTTCGCTGAAAGCTACTTCTTTATTCTCACGTTCATTGTTGGTGTTCTCATTTAACAGATCATCGTTATATTTTTCTGATATAAATACTTCGAAATTGTTTTCAGTTGGAGAATCTGAACTGGAAATAGTTGATTGTATATGGCTTGTAATTGTGTTCATTGGTATTGTAGAGTGTGTAACTGATTCAATAGTTGTAGGGATAGTTGTAGTTATCAAAGGTGTAGACGCAGTAGTTTCCGGTGTTGTTTGTAGTATAGTAGTGGCAGTGGTTTCTTCTGTTGTCTGGGGAGGTGTTGTTGGACTGGTAGTAGGAGATGTTGATGATTCAACTATCACTGGTATGGAGGTGGTAATAATACTAGAATCAATAACAGCTTTATATGCGTCTGTTTTCCAACACTGGCCAGCATGATCAAATTTCAAATCGTTTACAGGATCTGCCTGATCAGCTTCAAACTGACATTGATTATTGTACAAAATTTGCATACCTGTCTCTTGTTTAACTGCTTGCGTTGTATTATGCACAGACTTTGGTGATATATAATAGGATGGCATAAATGTTTTCATCGGTAAGTTAGGCTGATCACTAGATTGTTTTGCATCACATATAGGTTGTTTACCATACCATGATCTACAGAAATAAAGATCAGGACAATGATTAAGCCGTAACTGCCAACTTTTCCATGGAAACCATAAGCGCTTAAATGATGAATTTTGATTTTCATAATCACAGAATAAAGAAAGACGAAAGTAAGGCGGCGTTTCTGTTGCACTAGACATTTGGTTTGATGAAACAAATGTTTCATCAACAAAAGGTATGAAACTATCCTCATCCCAATTGAAAGGATTCCATAAACTTAAATGCGTCACATGTGATTTAGTCGGCAGATTGCCTAAATCATTACGTCCAAGCTTTTTAAAATAAATAAATGATATAGTCAAATGAACTGGACTCAATGTCATCTTCAGGCTTGATCGTACAGTTTGAACAATCCACTCCAGTATACCTGGCTTTAACTGTCCTATACGTAGTCTTTTAATACCATTTCCATTAGAAAGATCTTCAGCACTTACAGTAGATGGTTGTAGAACAATACGCAAATCATATCCTTTACCATGTCGTTTAGATGGACGTGATTGACTAGTATCTGTACCTGGTGATGGTACCTGCCAAACATGACAATCGATAGTTGCATCTTTATCGGTAATTTCAGACAACTGTCGTTTACAGTCAAGCATCAACTCATTCGTAAGTGACTGACGCTTAGCAAAACAATAAACATTTGGACACAAAGATTCACCAACTTCAAATGTTGAGTAATTAAATTCATTTCTATCATTCTGTCTTTCAAGATATCTAGATTTACGAGTAGGTTGACGAAGATCATTCTGTGGCAGTGTAAATGGATCAGGTGGGTGGAGATTTTGTGATGTAGGATGTTCTACGATAGGAGGCTGTTGATATTCATGTGGTGCATCTTGTTCATCTAATACTAGTGGAAAAGTCAGTGTATCAATTATCGTAGGTTGGTCAATTTGATTATAGTCATTCTGAGGATCTGAGTTTATCGTTGTTATAAAGATCAATAATACTAAAGAACTAATTATATGCATTTGATTTAAATAGATGTCAAATCATTGGTCATTAAATTATGTACATGAATTCATTTTCATTCTCTGCTTAATGTTTGGAGTTTTAGAGAAATTCCTGGAGAGAATTAATTCCAAAGACATTTGTCATTTATGAGATGAAAATTCACCTAGTTTCTGTTATATATATTTTAGGAATTATTGAATTTACTCCAGCTGATTGTTTCCTAATGTAGACCAAATCTTCAATTATTCTCATTGGTCAATGATGTAACTTGATTTTCATTGGTTACTTATTCTGCCAATCAGTGAGATTCACCGGTGTAATTCATAACTCCAGTGGTACAAAGTACTTTTAAGCATATTTTCAATGACATTTTGACTTTGATACAAATGAATATATGATTATTAAATTGATAACTCGGAGTATCTAAGACCTTTGGTAATAAGAGGGATAAGATCTACAGGCACTAACTGCTTTATTCTGGACGACAGCTAACTGTAAGCGTGCGTGAGTGCGTTTCGTACTCCAAGAGGATGATTAGATGATTTAAACAATGAGGAATGGAAAAAAAGTTGATGCATTATGCCGGATGTAAATAATAAGTCACTCAGTGACTGAAGTAGGCTTTCAATATTCGCGGTTGTATGATTTAAATTTTCGCTTGTCATTACTGAAGGGGAGAAGTAAAAATTAACGGAAAAATTGCAGCCACCAGAGTTCTGATTGAGGATTCTATCAGAGAAAATGTGCTTATCTATTTTCTAACTCTTAAGTTAGTCAGAAAGCACATTCTAAATCTTTGATTCTCAGGAATGACACAGACTCTTGATTTATCGCCCCTGAGATTAGTTGAATATGCGATTTGATACAATTCCACAATAAGGCGATATGATATTACAATAGACTTATCCAAAGGATATCTGGATATGCTAACTAAAACAGAAAAAGAAGGGAAAGAGAAATTATAGTCCTTGAAGCTTCAGTTTGTCCTACGACTGCATTTATAAATGAATGAAAAGATTTGTGGTTAAGGTTGTCGATATTGATGTAGTTTTAACCTAAAAGGCTCAGGGCTCATTTTCGAATATTTCGTGATCTTTCTAGACAACATCTTCAAGACAAATCAAATATGGACTAGATTTTGATTGGACACCAGTAACTAGTGTGATGTGTCTAGTCCTTTCTTTTGTACAGACTGCATTCTATCAGTCAGGTTTGCAATGTGGCCACGATTCTAGGTAGCTCGCCATCATGGTGCACATTGATTCGATGATATTAGATGGTTGAAGGCAATCGGCGGGAACCTAGGTTTCGTGATAGGTGACACTCGTCAGCAAATAATGATATCATCAAATCAATGTGCACAGTGATGGCGAGCTACCTAGAATCGTGGCCACATTGCAAACCTGACTGATAGAATTCAGTCTGTACTAAAGAAAGGATTAGACACGTCACACTAGTTACTAGCACCCAATCAAAGTATCAAGTACATTCCTACAGGAGGTCAATCGCAAGCCCGAATAGCTCAGTTGTAAAGTCTCTGACTGCGTCACTGGGTGACGTGGGTTCGAATTTCGGGAGGGACATCAGTTCTTTAAATGTTGCAGATGAGCCTTTCTGACGATTGCCAGTTGGTACGAAACCTAGGTTCAAAGCTTTCTGCGGAGTGACTACAACTATCTAATAAACAAGATTTGTTTGAATTCTTCCTGAATGATATAATTGCTTTTCTTCGATTTGACTGTGATCTATCCCACCATATATGAAGACTCTTTCTGAAACGACAGTTACAATAATGGAAATATACGGAATAGATATCTCACATAAACGAACACAGTTGCTTTGTTCAATATCATGCAGATCGAAAGGTCTAAGAATAGGAGAATACAAGATCAATAGCACCCACAGAATAATTTGCATCAACCGTGAAAAAATACTACATTGGTAAAAGTGGACGTCCAGTTGGAATTCGAATCCAAGAACATAAACTAACTGTCAAAGGACACAACATGTATAACTTCATATTTGATGCGTGTAGATAATTATGGACATCACTGTGATTGTGAAATTGAGAAATCTTAGAAAAAGCAAACACCAGTAATGTCAGGTAATCACCCACAGCTTGGTACACAAATGAATCTGCGATCAGCAGATACGTTAAGATAGACCGAATTTTGATAACTGATTGAGAAGAAGTCACATTACAGAAGAAATCAAATTCCAAGTCAATAAAAATGCCACATACTGATCCGAATTGACAACTAATCACAACGAAAATCATCAACAGAGAGAATTACACCATTCATGGGGAATTCAGTTAACTTCCCTTCATAGTGAATTCTGTGTTAAAGATGTTGTCTTGAAAGACGACGAAATCTTTGTAATGAAACCACCTGCCACAGACAACACAACTGCAGCAATATTAACCTAGTTAGGTGAGCTTCATGCACACCCAACGTTCATACTGAAAGAGTTAAAACACACGTTGATGCAGTATTCTATATGTGTATACTGGTGACGTTTTGAGCACAATTTACTGAAATACAAAGCAATTAGTTCCTTTTATGAATTCCAGCAGAATAGTAGGGAGGCATAATTTGTCTGAAACATGTAAAGTATTTGCGTGACAACATTTTGGACATTCTGACTACACACGTATCTGTCAAACAAATTAACATAAGAGGCAACAAAGTATAACCATCAAAACTGAGTCCGTATAAGTCAAAGTGTCTACAGTTTACAAAATGAGGTGAAAGTATTGTTAAGCAGAATAAACCTTGGTTTCAAAACCGAATTACCAAGACAGGTCAGTAGTAATTACAAATAATTTTTGAATATAAAATACAAGTATAAGCCTTTTTATGGTTAAGGATTCGAAGAATTTAGGCTTATTAATCAAACTTTCCTGGAACGTAGATCTAAAGACACTACTGAAATCAACTTTATTGCCTGTCTCTATGATGCACTTTGTGATAGCTAACGTTAGGCATCTATTTCTAGAGTTTGTCGAATCAACCTATTTCAGTAATTCTTGAGGCCACTTAAGAATGTATTCTGTTGCCGTGACCTGCAGAGGTCGATAGGTTCACTCATATAAGTTAATTGCTAAACGCAGTCGGATTTGACATCACTCATCGTTTACCTTTGTTTAGTGGGCAGAATTTGACAATCAGCCCTGAACAGGAAATTCATATAAAAATCTTTTGAGGGACTGATAAGACTGTTAAAACTCGTTGATTTGTGCTTCTATAGTGGTTAAACGTGCGTCGGTGGCACAGCGGTTAGGACGCTAGCCGACCATGCATATGGTCCAGGGTTCGATCCCCGGCCACAGACGCACTCCTTTACCTCAGTAAGCCAGTAATAAAGCTGGTAAAAAGGAATGGTTGGGCATAAGGCTAGCAAACCCATTCGTAAAAGAAACTCTGCTACAGAAACTTCAAGCCACTAGCTTGAATCCGTATGTTCCACTGGGAACGTGAAGGAATAAAAAAATAGGGGCTAAACAATTTCCGAAGAATTTAGCTCAGTGAAGTGATTGACTCAAAAGAGATGGAAAAGTTAGAAAAGAACTTGGAAGTTGACATTGACAAACTAGTGTCGGATATAGGTACTTTTTCAAAAGAAGTGTAGTTAGGTGAAGGAGATAAGTCACCGAATTTTATCTGTTCAATCTGCTCCCACAATATATACAGTAAGAAAGAGTCAGTGGCGATATCAGAGATATGAAAAATATTCCTACGGATAAAAAATGTATGAATTAATGGAACTACATACAGAGTCTATAAGTTATGTGAGTACTTTGTTATGATTGTGAACAGCAGACTGTGTTCAAAACATCATCAGTAATTATTACTATATCACTCCGTTTCTATCAAGTGAAATCATTTTATAGAGTAATTAATGCGAATCATTTATTCAAAGGAGTAATCGGTATGTATTTTATGGCAATGAGCCGAATTAAACAGATTTTCAATGGCGAAGTATTTACATTTTCTTTTCTTCAGCTGTCCAACTGACACTATGATTCCAAGAAACTATTCAGCTCATTCTAAGAATCTAATCATTTGATTCTATGGAAATTTTAACAGTCATCATATAGCACTATGTGATGAAGACTGACAGATTATAAATTATCTATTTTTCATACTGTTTTTCACCTGTCCACCTGAATTTTCTTTGAAGGCATTAAACACCAAAATTCAGTAAGTTATAAAATAGGATCACATAAATAAACAACCTGGAGTTGATATGGGCTTTGGCGATTAACAAAGTAAAATCTTCAAAAATGGTTTCAGCTGAACACAACTTATTCACATATACTTGAAATAAAATATTTCCAGAACAAGGATAATTAGGGAGAACTGTTCTTCTCAATAAATTCTTCTTCAGTCTTTACAATTATAAATCTATTAGTTTTAGCACAATAAGGGTAAATTTTAATTATACCAAGAAGCGTATTGTAGTTAGTAAAAGGAAGAGATGGAATAAAAGTCCATGAATACAGTGAATAAGAACATGTCTGTCTGTCTGTTTTCAACATAGAACTTTGCACCGATGTGCAGTAGTTCGAGTTGCCACACTTCACTCAGCACACAAAGCCAGAGACGAAAGTAGAAGATATGCAAAATAGAGACAGTAAACACGGATATGAATCAAAAATAATAGTAATTCCAAAGAACAGTATAGTTTTGTTGGAAATTATAAGTCACAAGGAGTGGATGCATCTGTGCCAGTCATTGAGAACGATTTTGAGTTATATCACCAATGTCTCCAGCCATTAGTTTTTTTACCGTCCCGAGGACCCCAACCAGTCAGGAAGTCTACACCTTGCTACGTAACTTGCTTAAACTAACTGTTGTGGATTTCATTGACTGATGAAGCTATGTTTTGGTTTGACCACCACTGGCTCTTTTCCAGCATGATCAATCCTATGTCAGTCAGCTAACATTGCCCGTCGAGGAAGGAGATGACTAGGCATACTTAACACATGTCTTAACCATCTCAGTCGATATAAGTTCACAGCCTCGTCGATTGACTTCCCCTTCCTACCTAGCACTCGACACCTAACCATAATATACTCATTATACCACTTCACACGGGAGAAATAACGCAGGCACCTGTGAGCAAACACAGCTGGCCTTTTCATGTCCTCCATTCTCAATGGCCAGGTCACACAGCT